GTGGAGGCAGGGAGGTTGTTTCCGCTAGCAGGTGAAACTAGGACTAGAGGGCATCACCTCAAAATAAAGGGAAGCAGATGTAGGACTGAGGTCAGGAGGAACTTCTTCACCCAAAGGGTTGTGAATCTGTGGAATTCCCTGCCCAGTGAAGTGGTTGAAGCTACCTTGCTGAATATTTTTAAGGCAAGGCTAGATAAATTTTTGAACAGTAAAGGAATTAAGGGTTGTGGTGAGTGGGCGGGTAAGTGGAGCTGAGTCTCAAAAAGATCAGCCATGATCTTACTAAATGGCGGGGCAGGCTTGAGGGGCCGGATGGTCTACTCCTGCTCCTAGTTCTTATGTTCTTATGTACTCTATTTGCTAGATCTCTGCTCACTCCTTGAACCTATCTATATCCCTTTGTAGGCTCCTTCTGTCCTCTTCACAACTACTTTCTCACCTATGTTTGCATCATCGGCAAATTTAGCTACCACACCTTCAGTCTCTTCTTCCAAATCATTTATATAAATTGTGAAGAGTTGAGGCCCCAGCACTGACCCCTAGGCACGTCACTTGTGATATTCTGCTAGCCTGAAGAAGACCCATTTACTCCTTCTTCCTGACTCCTGTTTGGCAGGTTCAAGAACAGCTTCTTCCCTGCCATTATTAGACTGCTGAATCGACCTCGTTAACTTCAAGTAATGTTGATCTTGCTCATGTTGATCTTGATTTGTGCACCTCCTGTGTAGTCATAACTTTATATGCCTCGCTCAGTTTAATCCCCCTATGATCTGTATGTCCTTGTTTGCTATGATCTGCCTGTACTGCTTGCAAAACAAAGCTTTTCACTGTACTTAGGTACATGTGACTACAACAAATCAAATCAAATCAACCAACCTTCTATCCCTGGCAATATGTTACTCACTACACCACTTTCCTTTGATTTGGCATCTTATCAAATGCCTCCTGGAATTCTAAGTACAATACAAGTTGTGCTAACATTTTCCATGTGGACTCTCAGATCTGTGGATATTGTATACACAGAGCTGAGCTTGACCATTATCCACTGCCAGATTTGTTACTGGTTTTCGGTTCAGCACAATCTCTGAGGTGGCAAACCTTCCTCACACCGACTTCATGCAGCAGCACTTCCAAGTCACAAGCTTTTTAAAAAAGGAAACGCGAGGGCTGCATTGTTCTGGCACTAACCTCTAAACTCTATTTCCTGCCTTCTCGTTTCTTATGCCACCTGCTAGATTTTGGCAGCCAACTTTTGTTGCTGCACACAACCTTTGGATATACTCAAACTTACCTCAGAAAATGAGGCTTCAAGTCAATATTTGCTTGTTTGTATGTAGCCTTTGTCATTGTGTTTCTATGCAGAATTTACTTTGGAGTTTAATCAATGACCAACAGCCAGGTGCAGGTAAACATTCTTATTAGGGTACCATTCAGTTGAAAATGGACAGAAGATTAGAATTGCGAGGAGCTGTCAGTATCACAAAATTAATTGGTTGTAACTATCCTGGACAAACAACACCTCACATCTGAGTAGCCTGTGAAAGATTGTTAAAAGTCATCATGAAATGGAGAACATCCTTGCAAGTAGATGATAGCTCTGCTAGTCTCCTGCTGTAACTGCCAGGATTACATTCTCCAGATTTTATGTACCAGCACAGTGATATTTCACTTGCAATACTAAGGCTTTCTTGAATTACACATTTTCTGTATCAAAAGAAGTATCTGTAGATATTTGTCACTTTCATCTAGAGATGAAACTACAAATGCTGGAACCCCACTGTAAAATAATCTCAGCTAAGATTAGCCAAAACAAAATACTGCAGGCACTGGATATCTGAAATAAAAACTCAAAATGCTGGAATTGCTCAGAAGGTTTGGCAGCAACTGTGGAAAGAGATACAGTGTTAAAGGGCAAGTTTTCTGCACTAAGTCCAGGCCCCCATCATTAAAACCAAATGTGGACCATGGCTGTATTCATTGCTCCTGAATTAGCTAATTAGTGGCTGAAGGACATGCCTACCATTCAACAAAAGCTGCCATAGTCCTACTGTGGAGGGTCAACACAACATGGTTGGCATCTGATCCATAAGCTTTAATTAAATTAATTTACTGGCTACTTTCTCAAAAATGGCTTGGAAGCATGATGGTGCTGACAAAACTAATCACCAGCCTGTGGTGAATAGGACCCTTCCTTGTCATTAGATAATTTGGGAAGAGAGTATCTTTACAAGACTAGAACAAAGTTGAAAGTCTTTCCCTGGTTATCCTCTTCCCTTTAATATGTTTAAAGAACACCATGGGATTCTGCCTAATTTTACTCACCAGTGTTTTCTCTTTGCTTTTCCAATTGCTTTCTTTAACTTTCCTCCCCCCACAACCATGTATTTTCTAAACACCACTAGGCCATCTGTTGATTTGCCTCCTTTGTACCTGCTAAAATTCTCTTTTTTCCTTCTTATCCTGAATATTTCCAGACATCTAGGGTCCTCTGGGTTTGTTGCTCCTACATTTCACCCTAAAAGGAACATAAATTTGGTTTGTGACAACAAGGTGCAGGGCTGGATGAACACAGCAGGCCAAGCAGCATCATAGGAGCAGAAAGGCTGACGTTTC